TAACAGCCAGGACATTCAGGACCCCGCTCTAACGCCTTCATCTGCACCACACACACACACACACACACGCATAGACACATACACACCTAGTCCCCTGTAGCTCAGTTGGTAGAGCATGGCGCTTGCAACGCCAGGGTTGTGGGTTCGTTTCCCACGGGGGGCCAGTATGAAAAAAATGTATGCACTCACTAACTGTAAGTCGCTCTGGATAAGAGCGTCTGCTAAATGACTAAAATGTAAATGTAAGCACATTGGAGCAGGCAGCGACAGCACAGAAGTACACTAGCGCACACACACACACACACACACACACACACACACAGCTTAATTCCAGGCCTCCTCCAACATATCCATCTCTCCCAGTTCCCACCCGTTATCCATGTTTTGTTTTAACAGACATTAACAGTTATACTAAGAGAGCATATTTTGTCTTTATTGAAAAGAGACACATTACAGTAGAAGACTGTATTAGGTATTATGTTTCAACACGGTACTGTACAGATAACACACTCAATACAATAACAATAATAATAACAATAATAATTAGGAGAACAATGAACATTTGAAAAATAACGCTGCTTGATGCTGATAGGTCACAACAGAGGTGGAAGGATAGGAAACCCTTTAGGAGGTCAGAGGTCTTCTTCCATGTCTAGATAGTATTATAACCATATTAAATAACTTGACTGGCAGTCCTCTCGGGTTGGGTTGTGTAGCTACATACATGATGGATGACCAACGACAATGAGGCAACAAAATACACACCGGAACCAAATAAACAAAAACAAATGACCATACTGAGTGTTTGTTTATTAGTTTTGTGGTTGTTGTTTATTACTTTACATTATGTACAGGTGGTGAACGCTGTGCTGATGGTGCTGCTGTGTGTCGCCTGGCGTTGACAGAAGGGAGAGCTGTGGACGGTGTAGAGGTACTGAAGCAACACCAGATTGATTGACATGGTGGGTACGTCTCAACGTCTCACGTCTAAACAGTTGCTTCTACATAGCCTGGAAACCAAACTGATATGCTCCGTTTCACCATTGAAACAAATGACACCTTTTGGATTCTAGGCTAGCTTCCTGATGCTTCCTGAACCCAACTATAAGGGAGGACAGCTCACACTATTGGCTAATCATGAATTCCACTGGCTACCTCAGAGAGGGAAGGGAGAGCAGCTTGCCCACCAATGAGGACTGTGTCTAATACTATGTTTCACCTCTTCATATCTCCTACTAGTGTGAGAGCCAGGGGCTGAGACAGGAGCTGTTTCAGGCCAGCAGACAATATTAGGGAAGAGATGAGGGATCTACACAAACAGCCAGCCATGCAAAGTGTTCTACTGGAAAGGCTTTCTGAGGAGAGGACTGAAGAGGGTTAAAGTCCATCAAACTGAACACGTAGTGCATTTTGTTGTCATAAATAAAAGGACCTCGTCTTCTCCTCGGTCAAATCCTCACTTAGAAGTGTTATTAAGGGGGTTGAACCCCGCTAGCGACTAGGGAGAGGTTTAACGTTGCTATTTCTGCTACAATAAGGTTCGATAAGGTACAATAAAAGGTAGGTTTGGGTAGGCGCACTTTAGTGTTCATGGCTGCCTGTGGACGACACCGGATGTCTCAGCACTTCTCATGTTAATCACTCAACATGTTTAGCTCTTTTCACATTTCTATTGGACACAGAAAAGCAGAAGGAGTGTGTGTGTGGGATGTATGGGCTTGTCTCCAGCGTATGCAGGTATTGCAGGGTGTTGGACAGAAACACCACCATGGAGATGTTAGAATGGATATCAACACCTGTCCTCCATATTGCTTTAATACCTGTACAGGTCAGGCAGGAGTCACTACTTATATTAGGCGTTTACATACACACACACACACACACACACACTGGGGAGGTAACATTAAGGGCAAAAGCAATCATAAATAGGGGAGCATTTGATGCATAGGAATGGTTTTGGGGGAGAAAGACATCACACCCGCGGACGCTCACACACAGTAAGGATTCAGAACAGGCAAAGGCAGAGAGCAGAGATGTTGGCAACAGGAAGAGGGAGAGGAGGCAAGGAAAGGAAAGAGGGAGAGGAGGAAAGGAAAGAGGGAGGTGGAGGAAGGAAAGGAAAGAGGGAGAGGAGGAAAGGAAAGGAAGAGGGAGAGGAGGAAAGGAAAGAGGAGGGAGGAGGAGGAGAGGAGGAAAGGAAAGAGGGAGAGGAGGAAAGGGGGGGAGGAAAGGAAATTAAGGGGAAGGAGGAGGAAGAAAGGAGAGGAGAGGGAGGAGAGAGGAAAGGAAAGGAAAGAGGGAGAGGAGGAAAGGAAATGAAAGAGAGGAGGAAGGAAAGGAAAGGAAAGAGGGAGAGGAGGAAAGGAAATGAAAGCGGGAGAGGAGGCAAGGAAAGCGGGAGAGGAGGAAAGGACAGGAAAGCCATAAACATTCCAGTAACGTTCAGTCAACCCATCATTGGCTTATTTCTCCCAATAAAAACAACATCACGTGTGCATCCGCAAATCTCCACTCAAACCCCCGAGATAACGCAACGCTCTCAAGAGTAAAGAACAATTTCCTGCTTCCTTTAGATACATCATGACATCACCACCAAAAGAGCTGTCAAAAAGAAAAAGAAAAGCAGTAGACGAAGAAAGAGTAAAATATCATTTAAACACAGTAGGATTCCAGACCCAGAGAAGCCCTTCCTATTGAGTCACTGAGCAGAAAGGATCAGTCCCAAATGGCACCCTATTCCCTACACAGTGCACTTCTTTTAACCAGAATACTATGGGTGCTGGTCAAAAGTGGTGCACTGCTAAGGGAATAGGGTGCCATTTGGGAGATTCAAGAGGCAGAGACGTATGATTGGTTGTGGAGCAACAGACATGGCTATCCAATGACAGACAGAGGATGGAGGAAACGCATGCTGAGTACTTCAGAAGACCTGATGGGAGGAGGCCCAGAGTCTATCCTGACCAATGACGTCATATATGATGTCAGTCAACTTGACAAGGAAGAAATCAGAGGGCCCAAATTAGGAACTCTTCTCCAAATCAGAAAAGTATAATTCAATGAAGCATTAGACAGTATCCATCCGATCATAATTATTCTACAAAAGCTGACAGCCCATGGGCTAAACTATCAGACCCACATCTTCTTAGATGAAATGAAATAGATTGAACACTGATGAGCCCATCTAGTATAAATAGTGCTAAATTTACATTGTGGATGCTTTTCCTGGATCCTTCGCAGATCAATGTTAGTTAATGCCAGTATGGACCTGACAACTGGTACATGAACCATACATAAGTCATCAATAGGAAAATGATAGTCACGGTCCTGTCTAGCAGTTTCCTTCCATCTTCTGTCTATCACTATACAACAATACGTTATCATGATGTGTTTACAGCTGAAACAGCAGATGACCTGATCAAACTAAAGAAAAGGCAGAACAATATCCTGGAGATAAAAACAATAATACAAATAAAAGGTTTTCCTTGGTCTCTGTGTGGGTTGAGTGGACCGACCGTATGATGATCCTGAAGAAGGTTCTGATACTATGCATTATGAGGCTTCCTATACATTTTGTAGTTTGGTCTGAGGTGGAGTGTTTTGCTGAATGGTTGAAATCTAAATCTAAGAAGAGAAGATTGTTGTTGAAGCTAGTGGAATTGTGGGGGCTTCAAGATCACGTGGAATTGACAGTCTCTGGTCCCTGAGCCTGGCAATACATACACGCCTTTTACATCTAACAAGTGATTTCTAATATATGAGACAAACTCACTTCTCTCTAGAATTGATCCATTGGTCCAGCAATGCACAATGAGATATACACAATTTTGACGTGATGAACGACCCTATTTTTTTAATTAAAAAGAAAAAGTGTCTGACATGCTATCACACTTTGTTTTATTTCTAAGAAATATCGAATATTTCGGATTTTTTTCCCCACTTTCTTAAAATGTTTATACATCAAGAAGATATTTTTGTTCCACATTTCATTAAAAAAACATCCACAGGAGGAGGATAGAGATAGATCACATAATTTACTGAAGAGAAGAGAGGGAAGTGGAAACACTGATTATGTGGAGAACTAAAGAAGAACAAGAGAGGAGGAGGCTTCAGAGTTCTGTTCAGTCGATCAGTGTTCTTTGTAGTTCTTTGTACTTCGTTGTAGTTCTCGTGTTATAAGGTAGAGATCCCATTACTTTCTTTCCCATAGCCCCACCCAACATGCTACAGACCCTCTTCAAACATCCAAAGTCTTTCCAAATCCGCGAGCCACTGTTTCTATATAGCTGATATAGTAGTGATATAGTGTGTGTGTGTGTGTGTGTGTGGTGTGTGTGTGGGTGTGTGTGGGGGGGGGCTTGGGTTGAAGCTTGGAGCAGATTGCAGATTGGAGTCAATAGAGCGTATATGAGAAGGGGGTGTCGCCGCTTGTCATGTGATTTTGGCCGCCTCCTCCCCATGTCCCATCATGCTTAGGGCCACATGCAGCCAGGTAGATAGCAGTGGGGGCGGCCGGTGACCTGACTCTACCCGGAAGTAAAGCCAAGCCACTTCCTGCCCCCATGCTTTTACAGGGGAGGGGAGGGCCTTGTGAGGAAATTGACAATTGGACCGAAGCAGGGCGGGGGGGGGGGGGGGGGGGGCCCTCTCCCAAAAACTGTTGTCATCATGATGTGGGGCAGAGAGCCCAAAGGGTGGACAGAGGGTTTCATCAACTACAACTTCAACAGGAGTGCTAGTGTCTTCTGTGTGAGATTAGTGGCAGAGTGGAGAGGGTTTAAGGGTCAGGGGTCAACTAGGGCTCTAAGACAAGGAGTGCAGAAGTAGTGGTTCCCAAAAGAGTTCAGCCATTTTCTCCTAAGTCTCTCACTTCCAAAAATGTCAGTTTTTTTCCAGTCAGGATTTTGAGTGTGTAATATGCAGACAATGCCACATTGTGTGTTTAGCCTGTTAATACCCTGCGAGTCGCAGTACCGGAGGCCTCCTGAAGGGGGCGGTAGTGTTTATATGAGTGCAGTGCTGCCCGTGCTGCTGCAGCTGTTGTTGCGGTTGGTGTTGCGTCGGGACAGGTTGGGCGTGGCCATAAGCGGGTAGCGTTCATCGGGACAGCCGTACTGCAGCAGCGTGTCAACACACTCCTGGCTGCTGGCCTGCCGTGCGTATGCCAGCGCACTGTTACCATGGGCGTCCCTCGCCATCAGATCCACCCCGTACTGGAAAGAGGAGAGAGGGATGGGGGAGAGAGGAGAGAGGGATGGGGGAGAGAGGAGAGAAGGGAATGAGATGGCAGGGGAGAGGAGAAGAGAGATGGGGAGATGAGTGCGAGGGAGGGGAACGACGGATGGGGGAGAGAGGATGGGAGAGAGGAGAGAGGGATGGGGGAGAGAGGAGAGAGGGATGGGGGAGAGGAGGAGAGGAGCGGATGGGGGAGAGAGGAGAGAGGGAGAGGGGAGAGAGAGAGAGGATGGGGAGAGAGATGGGAGAGAGGGATGGGGGAGAGAGGAGGGGAGAGGAGAGGAGAGAGGGATGGGGGAGGAGAGGGAGAGGGATGGGGGAGAGGGAGATGAGGGGAGGGGGAGAGGAGAGAAGGGATGGGGGAGGAGAGAGAGAAGAGGAGAGGATGGGGAGAGAGAGAGAGGGATGGGGGAGAGAGGAGAGAGGGATGGGGGAGAGAAGAGAGAGGTATGGGGGAGAGAGGAGAGAGGGTATGGGGGAGAGAGGGAAAGATAGAGTTATTTGACTTGGCAACATCTTGGCCCATAGACAACATTCAGGGTAAGGAACCATGGAACTGTAGGATCCTGTTGGCATTGCCCGCTCTCTCACCCAGATGAGGAGCTGTGTGATGACCACGTTGCCCTTGCGGCACGCCAGGTGAAGGGCGGTGCGTCCGTCTCCCTCTCCACACGTCTCGTTGACCTGTTCCCGGGAGCCGTGAGCCAGGAGCAGGATGACGGAGCGCAGGTCCTCCTCAGCCGTGGCCCTCAGCAGCTGCTGGCCCAGGGATAGGTCCATCCCCGAGAGCGACGCCAGGAACAACCGCTGCTCGTACTTAGCCCGGATCCAACGCTCACGCTCCTCCCTGAGAGAGAGAAACACACAGAATAGTGGTTAAGATGAATGTTCAGTATCTTCATATTATCTTGTGATGTTACCTTCTCCATCTGTTCATCTAGTCACACTCCTCCCTGGAGAAGGAACACAGAGGACAGAGGAGAAGGTGGATGTTCACCATGGTACTACCATACCTAGCAGTGTGGATATCTGGTCACTGTTATAGGGCTATCTAATGGGTGTCTTTGGGAACCACAGGACCATTCTTAGCAAGAACCTTTAGTTCAGATGGTAAAAAAGTGAATGGAAGAGTGGGTTAACTAGGAGTGGGTTATCGGGGAGTGGGTTAACTAGGAGTGGGTTAACTAGGAGTGGGTTAACTAGGAGTGGGTTATCGGGGAGTGGGTTAACTAGGAGTGGGTTAACTAGGAGTGGGTTAACTTGGAGTGGGATAACTAGGAGTGGGTTATCGGGGAGTGGGTTAACTAGGAGTGGGTTAACTAGGAGTGGGTTAACTAGCCTAATCTCTGAAGGAGAAAGAAAAGGCCCCATATTATTGAGAGAGAGAGAGAGAGAGAAGCGGGGCTGTGTAAGTACAGAGTGGTAACAGTTTCCAGCCACTCAATCTAATCCTGTGATGTGATAGCGCTAATCTCTCCCTAATCCCCGCCATGTAAACACGGCCTTTCAGCCCAATTGGGATTATCCATGCCTCAGTCCTCCTGTTAGAGGGGAGAGGCACCACAGTGGCCCGGCGAGAGGATAGGGGAGGGACAGGAGAGAGGATATAGAGCTGTCCTGTACCCGTAAAAACAACAGTCACCCTCAGGGAGTCCCGGGTCCCCCACTAACCAGGATATGGAGAACACAGGACAGTGGAACCTCACTGCTGCCTTACTTCCTCTGTAGTTCCCTACCCTGGGTGGAGGGTTAGGGCTGAGAGAGAGCACTACATACACACACCAGGAAAGAGAGAGAGAGAGAGAGAGAGGGACTGAGGAAGACAGAGAGATGGATATCTGTAGAGTGGGAATCAAACCTTTCCATATCCCCTCCTACTGTTAGTGCACTGGTTTTGAAGACATTTTTCACACTGCCAAATACCTTTAGAATTTTGTTGAGACCCTCAAATTCAACAAAGCCGTTGACAGCAACCTAGTCACCCACCAGAGGTTTCTGACCCACTGTCTGGGAACCACTTAGGACAGGTCATGAAATGCTGGCTTCTCAAGGCAACAGGACAGCCACTGGACTGCTTAAATGTTGACAGGTCTGAGGTGTAGGGGATAACTCTAAATGGCCTCGTCAGCCATAACAGATGATTGATGAGATCTTAGGGTGTCTCAGAGGGTTAACCTCAAACAGACCCATTGGCGGAAGTAATTGCAAATTAGCCGTGTGTGGAGGGTCTCTCTCTCTGCAGGAGATAGTGTTTTATCAGAGAGAGGGGGGCAGACGGACGAATGATAAAAATAGTCAATCTACAGCCCTGGGGATCGATGCCCTGCGACATCCTTCTTAATCAAAGCCTCGGCAACGGGACGACCGGGCTCAACCCCCCGGCAACGATTTCCTTTTTCTTCGAACCACCACAACTGCGGCTGAGCATCATCACACACACACACACACACACACACACTTGCTCTTACATACTCACTCTTACACACACACACACACACACAGGCAGGCAGCTAACATCAAGATGTTGGAAATGAGTTTCTGGACAAATTTGAGTCAAAGTAGCTATAGGCTAGGAAGGAGGATGTTAATTGGCTAACTTCTGTGGTTCTACTCTAGCACTGCAGCAAAGAGAAAAAGAAAGAAAGAAAAATCAATGGAGAGTTTTAGAGGTGTGGGAACCCAGTAGAATCTCATTAACTCTCTCCCCAGAGAATAGACTCACTGTGTTGCGTTTGGTTGTGTGTGTGTGCGTTTGAGGGGGTGTAACCTGGGTATGGGGGCCGGCCTGCCATATTACACTCTCTGGTCGGGGGCTAGCCTAGCAGGAAGGAATGTCCCTGGTCTTCCTGCCTGTCCCGGGGAGAGAGTGAGGAGGCTGGGCGGAGGTACACGGGCCAGAGCCCCAGGACAAAGCCCCAGGGAGGGTGGGGGAGGCTGGGTGGGGTTGGGGCATGGACGGTCTCGGCAGGGGCCTGGGCCCTCGTCTCTCTGGGTGTGTGTGGAGGAAATGCGGAGGCAGCACTTCACTGCTTCCTGGCACGCATGCCTTCCCCAGAGGACAGAGTTGCTATGGGTTGGAGCCTGGGTCTTCCCCAGAGGACGGAGTTGCTATGGGTTGGAGCCTGGGTCTTCCCCAGAGGACAGTTGCTATGGGTTGGAGCCTGGGTCTTCTCCAGAGGACAGTTGCTATGGGCTGGAGCCTGGGTCTTCCCCAGAGGACGGAGTTGCTATGGGTTGGAGCCTGGGTCTTCCCCAGAGGACAGTTGCTATGGGTTGGAGCCTGGGTCTTCTACCAGAGGACAGTTGCTATGGGTTGGAGCCTGGGACTTCTCCAGAGGACAGTTGCTATGGGCTGGACCCTGGGGCCCAGAGGCAGAGACAAGGGCCCAGGCTCTGCCCAGATACACTTGACACACACGCACAGGAGGTGGTCAGGCACATTGTTGGATTCAATGGGAACGGACACACTCAGGGTGCCATGGTGACAGCACAGCATTGTAAGGGAGAAGATGAACTGTCCACATTCTCTCACACACACAAGTGAGCAGAGGACAGGATGGATGTCCACCCCTCCTACAACGGCCTCCACAACGCGTGACAAAACACACACCCCACTGACTTGGGTAGTGAAACGCAATAACACTAAACTGTTGTTTACAACACTGCTGGTATAGCCTACTCACAAGAACATAAGGACATTATTTCCTTCCTGAATGGGAAAACACACTACTAAGAATAAAATCCATTAGTAAGTGTTGGGATTTTCCAACTCACATTCGGTCTTCATCTTAATGTGTTAGCAATAAGAGGTAGCATGCTACCATTATCCTCCGGTTAGAGTCTTGAGAGAGAGAGCAGTTTGGAAACTAGAAAGGCTAATTGGACTAATTAGCTACTCAGAAAGGTTCTCTGACAATAGCTGGGGAGGGTGGTGTGAGTGTGTGCCTGAGGGTTCTCTCTCTCTCTCTCTCACGGTCTCTCTCTGTGTCTAAGAGAGGTACCTGTCTGACTGCAGCTCACTGTTCCACTGCGTTTGTCTCACTTATCACATTGGGTTAGAGGACAGGCTGTAGAACCATGGACCACTATGAAGATAATTAACCACAGGTCCTGCTCAGACGGAGGCTGACAGGGACACACACACACACACACACACACACACACACAGGATGCAGGCACACACACACACGCTGAAATGAGTGCACACACTCCTCACAACCCCTATTCTCTCTCCCTCTCTCACCCCCTACAGCAAATGCTTAAAAAGGGAACACGAAGGGGGAGTGTGTGTGTGTGTGTGTGTGTGTGTGTGTAAATAATAATCACAGGAGGCAGATTTCCTAGCCAGTCTAATTAAACACTACAGATCATGCCAGCGAGGGCTCCTACATGTCCGAACGCAATGAGCCTTGCACATGAAATGCCCCCGACCACAACACACACACACACACACTTCAACGTTTCCCATTAGTGCATTCATGTGAGATGACAGTAACACATTAAAAAGGCCCTTTATTATGATGACAATGACTTAGGTAAATATATTCAACCCTGAGCCAGAGGAAAACCATACATTTATGACCTCGTTTGCTCTCTCTGTACTGTAGAGGTTGAGGAAGAGTAGTGAATGGTAAATACATAGCGGTGTGTGTGTGTTACAAGCTGCAGTTAAATCCATGACAAACCCCTCGGTTAATATAACAGCGTGCTGGTTTGATTGACAGCTTCATTAGCCTGTGTTAGGAGGTTGTTAGCGGGACCGCTTACTTCCGCCACCGCAGCGCAGGAGATGAGCGACAGTGGGGTTCTATCGCCGTTGGAAACAGTGGGGCGGAATGCGCTTGTCTGGGGTTACCCGGGGATAAACAGGGGGGCTGGTGTCAGTCTCAGACTGTCATCTGGGGCCAACTGGAGACAAGAGCTGAAGAATAGATATCTGTCATTTCCTGCCTCTTTTAGGTGCATGTGTGTGTATTATGTGTGTATGTGTGTGTATTATGTGTGTGTGTGTGTGTGTTGGTTCTTCCTGGCCAGTCTCTTTGTTGCAGTGTGTTTACACACTGGCCCAGTAGTTTCCTGTCTCCCCTCCACCCCCAGGCAGAGCCCCGTCTGTTTGGTCAACTATGACAGCCGTCCACTCCACTGGGCCGTCCGACCGTGACTGGTCACCAGCTGCTCTCCACCGCCACTACGACCAGGGGGGAGGGAGGGGGGTCTATGACCTCAACATAGACCCTGGATACAAGACTCACAGCAGAGTCCCTCATCCTAATAATCAGAACAATATTCAGTATCTACCATTATGGTATTATTACCAAATTAGAATTTCAATCATTTATATGTTGCCTATTAAAGTGATGAAATTATTTTGACATGCAGAGATTCATTAAGTGACAACATGATGAATCGTTGTTTTCCACCTAAAATGAAGTTGACCTTATTACCAATGTCCAAAATTACCACCATTATCATAACTGTCATCACCATCATCATTATTCCCAGCATAATTACCGTATAGGGCTGTTATTCGATGCCCTCCAATAACATGACATCATCATGAGATACTCCTCAACATAATCATCTTTAGCTCTTAACGAATAGAGAAAACATCCTTGTTAACATAAAGAATAAAATAAATGACAAATCATATTCCCATTCTATTAGTGTAGTGATAGATCTGATCTGCAGTGGCTCTATCAATGAAGTGGTGTGAAGTGAGATGTATGTGCTAAGGCCTTAAGAGTAATATGAGAATCCTTCATTACAGACTGAGTCAGTGGCAGAGTAGAGCAGTGAGAGGAACCAGGTTGGACTGAAGTCTTCAGTCAGTGACATAAACACACACACACACAGCGTCGTTAGTCAGTCAGTGAGTGAGCCGAGCGGCCCACTCCTTTGGCCTAATTAGCCCTCTCTAATTCAGCTCGTTACGACTCG